TTTATCTTTTTTTTTTTCAGAACGCGAGAAGATGTGCAGAGATGAGCAAGGGGTTCGCCAACACATGTCATGCGTTTCAGTAATAGAGCCGGCGTGTTGGGGCCCGAAGCGGGACGTGGGTAACGAGCAGAACCTTGGCCTCGTACTCGCGTAACGTTAAGTATTCACGTAACTCCGCGCTAGGTACTCGCGCGTTAACTCCGCACATCGCGTCGCCTGGTTACGAGCCATTAATTCCCGAGTGTAGTTGCGATTAGCTGCGAAGGAACTGTTCGAACCGAACAGGCAACGTGGCAAACTGATCTTATCAACAGATTAGATTGTTGTGCAAATTGGGGTTACATAAAGATCGTTCCGACGCAATTAACGTTCAATCGTCAAAATAAAGTTTTTTTTTAGCAATTTGAGGTATTTCTGATAAACTGATTTTTTGACATAAAAAAGAGATTTAATAGTTTTTTCAACGCTCCGAACAACATTGCGAACGCGTCTCTTTGATATTTTCGATATCGTTTACGTTGTAATTGGACAAGTGCGCAATCCCTTTCGGTCACATCCGGAAGTGGCGGACACGAACGGCGGATGCTTGTCCGCCCAAAGCGACGACGTCCCATTCGGGAACGCTGCGACACGGTCATCCGATTAAAACTCCCCCTCCCTCTTCCGATCATGGTTTGTCATCGGAGACGAGTCCTGGCAATTTCGGGCCAATTACACGCCCACGGAACATCGTCAGCTCATCGACGCTCATCAATTTCCTAACCCTAACCGGCCAATAAAATGTCCTCTTCTTGCGTGCCGATTTTTCTGCTCCGTTTGCGGCGAAAAAGACGCTCCGACGAAGTTCGACGATCCGTGCGCGAGCGACTCGATCACTCGTACACATGTATTGGCACACGATACAGTCGCGACAAGTTATTAGGTAACGGCGTTTGTCAAATAAAGATTCGCGAAAAGCGCGCTATCCGACTATCAGCGCGTCACGTGATTGTTACTCATTGTCGGGACCTTGAGGACCTATTTAGGTCGGTTCTGATTTACGATAATTTGCGGCACGAGCATTTACCAGGCCGTTTAATGATTACAAAAGGCCAAGCGCGACTTCCTCGGTGTACGTACAGAGCGTTCAAAACAAAAAAACTAAATAAAAAAACATCAAGCTTGATATTAGAATTTTTGAGAAAGCGAGTAATATATATATGTTATATATTTCTCTTTCTCTCTTTCGACGATTGTTACGTCGAATATCGTGGGAAGTGCACGAATATCGCCGTGACATTCCTGATAACAGAGCTCGAGGAGAGCTCGCGAATTCGCAATGTACCGTGCCAGGTACGGCGGTGGATATGAACGAGGTTGCTGACAGGCGGCTTTCCGCATCGTCGACGGTAATGAACGAAATTTGGCCGTTTTCTTCCGCGATCGCACGTAACGATTTCCACGTACTTACGTGTCGCACAATCGAATTTTCCCGGCCGAAGGCGTCAGTACACGCGCACACGACATAGCCTGACGGATATGACCGCGTTTAAGAGTTAAACTAACTGGCTAGTTAAAAAAAATGTCTACCAGTCGTATACACACGCACACATATACACACTCTGCGCTACACGCTAGATTTTCTCAGCGCTCCGAGTATAATGCCCTCAGACGTTGGGGGCATCGTACACAGTCTTCCTCATAAATCTATGCAAGCGTCGTAATGATACTTCTTGTCGGTTCCCATACGCGTTCGGCTCTCTTAAGAATTAATGCTGACAAGCGCATACACTCGTGTAATATTTTATCGCGTTTTGTAAGCACGCACATGTATAGGCATCACAAAATAGATGCAAATGATAGAAACACAAATGGCAAGAAAAGTACTCAATGTATCACTCGAGCACACTTATTCAAACAAACAGAGACGTGCGGATGACAGATGCGATTTTGGAATAAAATGTTAACAGTATATCGATCACCGTTATAAATTTGTTTTACCGTGTCTCTTTCTTATCAATAAAAACTTTATCTGTCATTGGTGCACACGATACGCGGCGTATTACGAATTTCCATTTACGATTCGGTTTATTTTCGAATCTTTTACAAGCTATTTTGCATATCGGAAATGCATTTCTTATGTTATCGCAAAAAGTAGTAGGGTCCCGCTCGCCGATACGCACGACACATGTCATTTTTCGCCAGACGCTGCTACGTCCGTTTTGTCAGCGAATGAATGGAAGCGCTTGTGTTGAAACAAGTGGCGGGATTGCTTTTCGGTCTGCATCATTTCTCAAGTAGAATACAATAAAACTACAAAAACGTCACGTGCGTGCAGCGTACGTTCTTCACATATTTGAAGGTCGGGGCAATTTGACATTTATGTAAGTCGTTTTATTCAAATAAATGTTTTACGTAGAAATACAAAACAAGTTTTTTAAACGGATGTGAAAAGAATAAAATAAATAAAAAACATGTAAAAATGGAATATAAAATTGTCTTTTGAAAAAATATAAGAAAAAACATTCGAATTGTGTGTTTACGTCGAACGTGAAATCGTGCACACTGAAACGTTTTTACGAACTGTTACGACGTAATCTTGGTTATTCTCTTATATTCTTAAAATATTCATAGTACGTGTGCTATATACATATGTATAGATATACGGAAGCAACCAATGCAACAGACTGAAAATCATAGCCTGCGGCAAGTGACACGTAAATTAACAGAAACATGTACAAAAAAAATTAGCCAGAAAAAATCAGATAAACAATTTTTGTTGAATAATTTGTTCGAACTAGTCTAAAAAATTATTTTTATTTAATTCACATTGCGAGGAATGTTTTTTTTTTTTTTTTTTTTCAATAAAGCGATAGAGTGCGTCTAGACGTAGAACTTCCATAGATGTTTCTAGAAAGCTAATGAATGACGCGATGTTCTCTATTGAAATATACACAAATCTTTTTCTAAGACAATTCTCAGCTTTCAAAGGACCTCAGAGCAAATCAATATCATTTGCATTTCACTTGTTGATAGCTGTGCCAGTTCTATAAAGGGGTAACATTAATTTATCATCATCATCTGTCACAATCTCTGATGTTGTTCTCCGAAATACGCGTATTTTTCGAACGACCGCACCCGAATCGCAGGGTAAATTAAGAAACGCATTTTGCTCCGCCACCCGAGCACTGTTTTGTTCCGACGATCGCGTGAGAGGATCAGCCGACACGCGAAAACAATACTATACGGGCGGACAAGCGCGATTTTTTTCCGCGAGCAACCACGTCTCTTATCCGCGCGTCGGGTCAAAATGGCGGAAGCGCGCGCGGAGCGGCTGCTCCAATCGGCGGCGTCCGTGGACCACCGCCGGCGGCCTTCGAGGCTGTCGGTAGCGAAAATAAACGTCGCCGCGAAGTCGACGCGGAGGAGCTGCGTGTATCCCGCTTTCGCGGAGCATCAAACCAACCTGTTTGCTGCGCGGCGGCCGCGTCGCTCTGTTGCAGTCTGCCGCCGGCGTCAATCTTGCCCGAATTCATCTGGACGTCCGTCATTTTTTAGGTGATTTTCCGGAGATCGTCTGCGAGGAAAATTTTTTTTTTTCCCGTTGTTTTTTCTCGCACTGGAAGAGTGAGAGAGTTGCGCCGAGAATCGCGTCCGGACACTCCGGTTGCGACGTCCGCACGCGCGCGCGCGCGTTGCGCTGACGACGTGATATCGGCCCGCGACGACACACGCGCGCAAATAAATTTTACGCGGAGAGCGGGAAGCGGCAGCACTACGTGCGGTTTTGATACACTCCAGAAGATGACTCCGAAACGCGCGGCGCTCGCAACGCGTTTCAACCGACTGGCTTCGCCGAGCGCCGTCGTCGCCGCCGCCACCGGCTCTCGCCGGGACCCAGCGCAGGCCCCACACGCCTCTGCCTGCCCCCGAGAAGCGCGCGAAGCCTGCCGAGCGCGTACGAACGGGCGCGTACGAACGTCGTCGTGCTCGTCCACCCACGACAAACAGCCGCTTCATCATCGAGGCAGGTACCAACGACGAGGAGACGAGCGGCGGCGTGTAAGAGAGAGATTGTGCGCGATTGAAATCTGCGCCTGACGGCCGCACGCGCGATTTATCGATCGAGCTACTCTCCCGCTCTCTCGGAAAGAGAGATGCTGAGGGAAGATGTGCGCCGCGACAGGCTGAATCAGCGACTTCTCTCTCGAGAGAGAAGTTGCGGCCGATGCATTGTTCCGAGTTTGCTAATCGATTTGTGAATCGTCTCGCCAAGTACAATCGGAGAATCGAGCACGTAAAGACATAACGAAGACTCACGTTTACATCTTCTTTTTTCAGCGCGGTATTACATAAAGTAAAAAATCCAGACTGATTTTAGGAAGCTGATATTTATTATCACACGTCTTGTGCAATAAACAGAAATGTGTGTTGTCAACTACGCTCCCAACTGGTGGCGTGGCTTTTAAAATAGATTTCGGCAGTGACAAACATTCTTCGTGTTTCTCTCACGCGACTGCTTAAGTAGAGCAAGAAAATGTCAGTCGGACAAAAATAATTGGACCGGCGATAGTGCGCGCCGCTACGAAGCATATCAATCTAATTCTGATTAATATCACATCGCACTAGTAGCAAGGATGCTGTGTCATCGCAATTCTCTCGCACACTTGTAATAAATAAAGAAACAAATATAAATTGCGTTTTAATATTGCATGAAAATTGGAAGGAAATTATTGAAATAAAAATGCAAACACTTACGAAAGTTGTTTTAATCCTCTCCGGTAATCTGAGAGGAACGATTTATTATCAGTAACAGTAAGAAGTAAATATATTTAACACCGACTGTTTTATTCGACTTTGTACAATGCTGCTACATCAAAAGAGTGTACGCACACATTTCTTTCCGTAAATATGTAACATGAAAACACGGCGTATAACGCAACAATGTATGAAATCGAATAAAATAACGATGCCGTATATGCGCACGAGATGAAAAATGTTTTGGTTTGTTTGTTTGTTTCTTTTTTTTTTTTTTTTGTACTCAAATGACGTTCGTGGGCTTTTCTTCTCTGTTGTTTCTTCCCTTTCGATCAAATGCTTTTCTCGACGATGCGGTTTTTGTTTTTACGTGCAAATTTGGTCAAGTGGATCTCCTCGCATGATCGCGGGCGACATGATGCGAGCGGGAAAAGGGTAGAATGAGAACTGTGACGAATGTGATGATGCGAAAATGGCGAATGTGTGATTCCTCGTTGCGATGCGAAGCGTGGCGTGGACATCGACGACGATCGTTTTACTCATCTTGTCCCGCCGCTGCTCTTTCACACAGTCGACGAAGAAATGCTGCGAACAAAAATCCGAGTATCACCCAGTATCTTTCATGCGAATGTACCGACACAAGTAATTAAGCATATTTATTCCACAGAGACGACGAACATACATTCACAGGCAGAGATCGGAAATTAGTCTGCGTGAAATTGAAGAAATAAACGATTTAGTTGTATTGTTCAAGATATCGGCAGTACCGCGATTGTGTTCAGTTTTGCACTGCCGATGCCGATTCGCTTTCAGTAGCGAAACGACGAACACGAAGCGATAGAACGCGGTGAACGTAGAATAAGCATTAATCATTTGCAAAAAACAATAATTAGAAATCAAAAATGAAAGAAAAAAACTTATGTACAATTTGTGAAAAGTTTTCGATCATCACATCATAAGCGGTAAGAACTCAAAAAGCTGAGTAAAGTGAAAGAAATTAAAAATATAACCATTGTTTATGCGAATGACATTTCGCTAAAAAAAAAAAAAAAACATCAATATTTATAATTTGTAAGTAAATGTGATGAGAGTTTGAATAAATGTAAAATGTTTCAGTGTCTATTCGGTATATCTTGTGTGTTTTTCAAGTGCCACCGGTGAATCGGTAAACGTGTCAGTGTGGAAATTTTTTGTTCTGCATTCTGTGCACGATTTTCATTAACTGTTGTATTGTTTCATTAAATGTTGTATTGTAAATTACTTTAATGATAATCTTGTCGAAGTCATTGACCTCGAGAGCGCGAGCGAACCTTCGCCACGCGTTTCTGTGCGCGAGAAGCGGGTTATCGATTTCAGCATCCCTGTTGAGCTGCAACGTTGCGTCCTATAAATTCTGGAACACGCTCGGCGCAAAAGACAGCGAACAACACAATATTAGCGACAGAAAGAGAAAGAGAAGGAAAACAAACATAGACAGATTGGATGGACAGTACAGTAAGACGAACAAGAAGCGAAGAAAGGACGGACAGAAGCGTGACGCTACCATCAGGATGTACTCACGATGGATGAAAATTGTTTTCCGTAACACCTTGACCGCTTACAACGGCACCATCATCTTCTTCAAGAAGGCTGCGAAACACAAAATTGACGTGGACGTTTCAAACAAATGGGAAATGGGAGCTCTATAGGTATCTCTTCACATTGCCGGAACTTACTCAGGGAGCGAATTACGGGTTCTTTCAACTGTACGTAAAATTTATATACGAGGAAGAGTTTCTAAAGTTTTGTATTAATTCTAACAAATCGAACGTACAAGGTACCTATTTACGGGCGAGATACGGGAATTTGAAAGGAATTTTTTCTAACTACTGTGCTCTATATATGTATCAACATCTATATATACGTATATCAACCATATGTATATCAACATGACTCACAAATGCAGGCGCGTATTGAACACTCTTCGTCTATTTGGGCTCATTTACGATTCCCGAGACTTCAAATAGGGATACTTATACTTACGGGCATAGGGGATGAAACCGTCGTCGTCCTCTGGATCCATGCAGTCCTTTAATACTGTGTCGACTTCCGCGTCAGTGAGACGTTCACCTGACACAATTATTTAGATCTTATTGGATCGTTTGCAAAGTCAAACGGTAAAATCAATTTCTTAATACTTATTAAACTTATAAATTAATAATTCTTATTTATAAAGCATGTAAAACTGAACTCAAATGCTTCTGTTTTTTTTTTTTTTTTAACAAAAGACACATTTTATTCCGCAAAGTTGCAGTATAAACAAAAAATATATTTTAACTTATGCTCAAATCGATTGTATCACTTTTTTTTTTTTTATGTTCAAACAATTGCTGAAAGTTATCCTTACCAAGCGTCAGAAGTGTGTGGGACAATTCCGCGGCGAGCATGGTTCCGTCTTCCTGTTTGTCGTACAATTTCAAACACTCCAGGAAGTCCTCGTAACAACCCTGTTCCTTGTCTTTTTTGCACTGACTGAAGATGGGCAGGAACTCGTCTAGTTTCAGTTTCTTCTCGCCCTTCTTCTTCGTACCACCCATCTTCTCGATAGTCGCGTTCGTGGGGTTCAAGTTCAACGCGCGAAGGATGTTGCCAAGATTGACCGCGTCGATGGTGTTGGATCCGTCTTCGTCGAAAATGGAAAAGGCGAATTCTGCCTCTTTTTCACAGAAAAAAAAAACATTTTGTTCAACACGTGTAATTTTGTAAGCGCACGGATATTTCTCGCGCGTGACCTCGTGTCTGTTGATCGCCAGACGTTATCGATAACGCGATCGGTCCGCGATAAAGAAGAGATCTTTGTTTGGCGTTGTGTACTTCTCCATGATCAGCCATGGGTATTTGGTCCACTCTTAAAATACGCGAGGTACGAAATCTGGGTTAATACCAGTCGTAGACACGGAGCGCCGCGCGCGCCGTGCGTACCTAGTTTAAAAATATTGTTCTATTTCAAGAGACGACAACCCTCCTCCCCCTCCCCACCAATCCGCTCTGATTGAAGAACCCACTGGTGGAAGTAGTGGGTCAGATTACCCCCGCCCGAACCATATAAGAACAGCCTACCAACCTATTTTTGACGCGCCGCGGGAACATCCTCATGCCCGATGAGCTATTATGTAACGTCAAAAAACGAGACATGCAATACGCAAAAATTAAAAAGTTAAATAAAAATTCGCGTGTAATTAGTCGACTGCTAGTTTATGAGAGAAAAGTAAATAAGAAAAGTAAATATCAATTTTTCGAATACGGACGAAATGGTCTTTCGGACGAAAAAAGTTTCCGCTGTGTGAAAACTTGATAAAATGTTCTATCTTTGTGAGAATTGACACGTTGTAACAAATTTTTAAGTTAATTTTGACAAATATCGTGATACAAATTCAATTCAACGAAATTTTGGCGCCGATAAGATGTAAAAGTTTTACATTTCTCCGTTCCAACTTTTTTCCCCACTTTCTGCTAAGTGCACATCACGCACGAGAGAAGTTACGTGTTAGAAATCACTTAGATCGTCGATTTACACCAAGATGTAAATTGAGAGATTCATCCTTTGATATTATTTTCGCGCAGTGTCGCTGAACGCGCCGAAGAATGAGCGAACTACTACATTACTTTACTCACTTTCGACATCCTTGCCGCTGAGGTCCGCCTGAAAAAGCACAAGATTTTTTTATTGGATTAAAACATTGCACTTCTGATAACTTCTCGTTGCCACTGCCACTTTGTAAAAAAAAAAATCTACTAAAGAACTTATTAAATTTATTGAGAAGAGCTAACAATATCAAGCAGTGAGCGCTGAAGGATCATCAATTTTAAAAATCCAAGTCGAATCAATCGGAAACACAAAATATGTAAATTTTAAACAAAGAGGTGACCTCAAAAAAAAGGAAAGAACCGCGAGCGATCGAAAACTCACCATTGTTGATCGTCTGGTACGAGTGGATGTTGACCGAACGAAGCTTGAACCAGGAGTGGTACCGGGTCTTACCAAATTTACTCATTTTATTTCTACAGATGGCGCAGCGATCAGGATGCACTAGAGTCATGCCGAGGTCCAAGTTTTCTCGGAGAGGAGTCTCGGAGCATGGCAACGCTGCGGTCCAAAAACAGTACGAGAAGCGAGGGTCAGACCTCAGTGCCTCGTCTTGCTACGATAAATGGAATTTCGGTGTCGACCACGACCATTCTTATGTCAGAGTTGCCAGATCCGCAACTCCCGTTGTGTTACGCAAAAATGTAACGTTCGATCGTTGCTTCGACTGAGAGTTTCCTCCTACGGCTATTAAACTTTCTTTAACTAAACCAAGCGCAAGAGCTAGCGCAAGAACGTGAACGCGCAACGTGAGATCATCAGATGGTATATTTTACAGAATTTTACGAATTTGTATACAACACTTTGCGATCATCACTTAAGAATGTACAGAGGGTCTGATTTTCGCGCTCGGCTCGTACGAGCGAGATGCTAAAGTTACGGAGACCGCAAGACCGTCTATTTTTACTCGGCTGAATTCGCAAACAAGCGACACAGTTCCCTCTCGAAAAAAAAACGCTCTGCTAAAAAAGCTACTCCGCGAAGACAAAGACAAGGACCTCTCGAGGTCGTCGTCGTGCTTGACGTAGATCGCGAGGTAACATTTCTTTCTGAAAGTTTGCATTCAGTTCTTCCGACGGCCGAAAGCGGCGCGGAAAAATCTCCTTAGTCTGCTGCCAAATCCCTTTTTCTTCTTTGTCGTCGTCGCTTCGTCGAGTTTTCGCTTCTCCGTGTCACTGGCAGGTAGAATCTGCTCCACAGTCATCGTGGCGTCGAGCGTCTTTAACAACGACAACGAACTCAACTCGTGTTTCTTCAACTGGATTTCCTCGAGACCAGTTTCTTTCGAGGTAGTTCGCAGATGCTGAGTCGAACGAGATCTCAGTTCGTCATCGTGCTTCAGCTCGGTAGCGCGAAAGTGGCCGATCGATCCGCTCTCTCGAAAAGTCTTTGTACTGATCTCGTTTGCGTTGTCCTCAATAGTCTTGATAAGTTCCTCCTCTTTTTCCTCCCAAATAGCGACGTGTTCCTTACTGGTTGTGTTCGGGGAAGAGTCCTTGGCGCGGACTGGGACCGCATTGTCCTCCAGCTCCTCGATCAGCTGATGCAGCAGACCGGCGGACACACTGGTCGCTTCGACAGGTGCATCATCTTGTTTTTCTTTCTGGTCTGTTTTTGGCTTCGCCGATGACGTGTGCACAATCTGCTGCTGCGTGTCGCCTTGACCTTGAATTGCAGGCTGAGTTTCGACAACGTCGACTGTCGGGTTCGTGAGTGTCACACTTTCGATGTTGCACGTGGCGTACTTCACCTGTTCGAGCGTGGACAGGTGCGTGTTTCGTGAGTAAATCTTCTTTGCGCGAAACACGCGAAGGAGCAGAAGTGTATGTGCGGAATTAATGCACAAAAACGGCACTATAAAACAAACCGCGAGAGCACACGCAAGACGCCTTGTGCACGTGAGCGTCTTGCAAATGTAACAATCTGATTTGTCTAGAACTGCCTTTTTTTGATCAAACAAATGTACTCAAGGAACAACGTCGACTGTGTTTTGTTTTTGTTTTTGCAAAATATTATATAACGTTAAGAAAAAAAAATTAAATACCAAGTAAATAAATATTGTTTACAAACAGTTTTACTATGCTATTCAAGTTATCTTGCTTGACAAAAAAATATACGACAAATATGTTAATTAAAAAGTTTTTAAAATCTTATTAAGCTGGAAATGATTTTATTTTGTAGCGGATTATTTTTAACTCTCATATTATAAAAGTTCTGTGTTAATTTTATTTTTCTGAGAGATTTGAACTTTAAATGTGATCATATAACTGTTCGTTGCGATTACATGATGGAATAACAATGTCGCGGGGAGTTGGTTATCTCTCTTGTAGGTACAGCTGCATTTAATTACCTGTTTCTCCAACCCTAACAATGAAGGCGGCAGTACGTAACGCGAATCTCCGATCTGCATATCGCGCAAGTCGCGAACTATCTTCGCGATCAATTCCATTTCTTCGGCCTTGCTATAATTTCTCTGTGTGCGCGCTTGCAATGTGCCGTTTACAAACTCCGATTGGACATTGCTTGTTTCTTCGTCAACACGCGGTTCCCACGATTCCTCTATAATAACACAATTCGTCGCATTTAAATATTTATTTCACAGCAGTTTGCACATAGCGAGTTCGTCACGTGTGCGTAGTTATCTAAGCGACGGGCAACTTATCACAGTAGAGAAACAATCCGTTGTCGTCGTTGTAAAACAACGACGACGTGTGCAACAACACGTTTGCTATTCGCCGTTCGCTATTCAAAGTCGTCGTTGCATTTGCGAAACGTCCAAACGCTCACACCTTACCTTCCTGTGCATCGCGGTCTATAACATCCAGAACTTGTATCATTATCTTGTCTAGCAACCCTCTCGCGAATGCCTCTGCCATGATCTGAGGCATTCTCACAAAAGAAGCCCCTCTTTCACGCGCCGTCTTTGACAGGACGCCAGACAGTCACTTTTTTTTTTCTCTAGCAGTTCCGCGAAAGGGAGATATCGATTATGTGCGATTATGTGTGTTTGCATTACGTAGCCATTTTTAGATCCCATCGAGATCGTACTTTGTTCGTCACGTAGAAGGCGACGCCTTTCTACGTGTATAACGACTATCTTTATGAATATGATAAGATTCTATAATATGACAAGACTCCGTGTCTATGTCCGATTGTAATGACGACTGCAATCAAATAGTTTGTTTTTTTAATAGTTGTTTTTAATAATTGTTTTTAAAAAAATTGTCATTGATAAAACAAGCAGATTCGCACATAATTTTTGGAATTTGCTACTAACTTTTTCCATACAATTTAAAAATTCCGTTTATATTTTTTGGAATTATTTTAGAAAAAGGAAAAGTGAAAGATAGAATCGGATGAGTGAAAGAAACACCTGATTCAAGTTTTCAATTTTCAATGTAGTTTATTTCGATCTTATTTCAACGGCAAATTTCACGTTAATGTTGACCACGCTGCATTTATAACCTCACAACGTTCCACGCAATTAAATACAACTTCGATGAAGATAACATTTTGTAAGTGCAGTAGTTGATTGCAACAACAAAAAAACACACATTTGTCAATAAAAAAAAATATATTATTTCTCACAAGAGCTACATTTCGGTGACGAGTAAAAGTGAAAAAATTATAACCGCGGTAATAAAATTTATTTATTCGCTTGTCAAGTAAATTACCCGATTAATGATGTGTCTAATAGCAATTTATCAAAATTGTAGTATCCGAAAGAACGTGCGAATGATGAATTCGATCATTTATAAGAGATCAATACATGTATGTAGATAAAAGACCATGCCATTATCACGAGGAGTCTCTCGAACAAATGTTGCGTATCGTCAAACATGGATCGACGATGATTTATGGAAGGTAACAATAGGCCCGTCGTCCAAGGCGTCATCCTCAAATGGCACAACGACACTTTCCGCGAGAACTTTTAGCGTCAAAAGCGAGCGGGGAAGCAAGCGAAATTTGTACATTGCGTCCGATGAAAATGAAAGAGAAAACCGAAGCACGTACAGGGACGACGAAAACGCGGAAATTGCATCATTATCGTCCGCCTATCACAAATTGAATCGCTCTGTGAATTCAGACTGTTTCAGAACACGTTCTTTCAATTCGGATAACCGCAACTCAATCCCTGTTTTAAGCGGGAGAGAACGGGACGATCGAGCGGACGGGGAGAAAAGTGAAGGAATTGAACGTTCTCGAATGCGCGCGGACACAAATTACTCGTCGAACGTCGTCGTGCTACCTCTCGTCGAGCTTGGAGCGGTTTGCAAAATTCTCGATTTTATGGCGAACTCAAATCCCGAGGTTTCGTCCGTGACTAATAGCTGCTGCAATGAGATCTCGCGAACTCTGCGATGTCTGTTCGCGCGAGTTCGCGATAAGAAGCCCGAGGATCTTCTGTTGAAGGATTCCTCGTTGTACAAATGCGAGCGTTGCGGGGTAATAAGTTGTTCCCTAAAATCGCACGAAGAAATTAAAGGGAATGGAACAAGGGCCGAAGTCGTGACAACCGTGAGCGATAGCGGGCGTAACAATGAGCGAAATAACGAGGAGGAATCAGAAATTCCGACAAATCACTTTTCGGATTTGAAGAATGACGTGCAATCACGAATATTTGCCGACCGCTCGAAAGCGAATTGTAGAACTGAGAATAAAGACGAGTCGAGTGGAACTGAATCATCGCCAATTAAAGAACGTACTTTCGTAACGAGCAGCTGTATCGAGAGCCGGAACGGCGTCGGTAATATTTCCGATGCGAAACCCAATGCCGGCGATACAATTGGAACCAAATCCTATTTTAATAATATTATTAAGCGATTGTTTGAGAATAATAAAGCGGAAAAAGACGAAGAGAGAAAATACGACGACGAGTGTACCGCGCGAAATAATCGTCCGGACGAATATAAGTTCCGCGTCGCGATGAAAGCCCGTCCCGATATTGGTCGGGAAGAAGTCGTGAGAAAGATTTCATATGAGCTTAAATCACAAATCGATGCTTCGCTCGTGGGAGATTGGCGTGGCTCTCGGGGTGCGCGAAGTATTCGACGACCAGCGCTCAACAGAATGCGCGACGATATTTATTCGATGGCCGATACCGTGAAATATTTGACGCGCGGTCGACTCACGTCGCCGGACAAGAAGGAAGATGATGGATTCCTGTCGAAATTGCGAGAAAGACGTTGCACTAGATTGGCGCAGAACGCGACGAGGGAACAGAGTTCCGTTCTGTACACCAGCCGAGACGATCGTCCGCAACGCGACTCGGGATTCTGGTTGTTCGACGACGAATCGCGACGTCTATCCGAAGTAGCGAACAAATATCGCTGTTTGTTAATATCGAGGCTGGATAGCAACAGAAAGATCGCTAAGGTTGCTGCGAGCACTTTGCGACGTTCCGACGCGACAGAGAGGACAAAGAAGACACGGTCCGATTGTGCGGAGAAGGACTCTCTCGAAGATTGCACTTTATTGGAACAAAGAAAGGAGAGCGGCACTACAACCTTCAGCTCGTCATCCGCTGAGAATTTGATACACGAATGGATGGGATCCCCAGATAGAAAAGATGAGATAAGTGACGTAGATATTCCCCGTGGTCGTAGACTAGTTTCGTCAAAACCTTCTCTGGATATCGCGCGACACGTCAGAGATGAAATTGCGAAAGAGAGAATTTCTGATGGCGCGAAAAAGTCGACGCGCCGGCCAAGCGAGTCGAATGTTCTCGCTCGTTTATCGTCAGAAACACGAAGAAGGATTTGTCGTTTGATCGAGGACTTACTGTTAAATTCCCCGAAGGATTTAACAATTTGTCTAGAAAAAAAACGTTCAACGTCCGACGGCGGCGAGTTGCCGCGGGGTTCGGCGCTTTCAGCGACCGTCGCGCTTGTTCCTGATAATTATTTCACGACTGACAACGAGATAACAAATATTTGCGCGGACGATTGTGCTCCGAGCGAATTGTCCGCGCCAACGAAAAGTAAGAATTGTTCGCTCGGGGATAGAGATAATTTCGAAAAAACGTCCGGTCGGAATTCGGACAGGTCCGAGGATTCTGTCAAGATTTTTCGCAAAAATACGACTGTCCGCGCTTTCTCTGACAAGCCCGGAAAAATGGGAGGACTCGCGAACGATTCGGCGAGAAAAATAGCGCGACAAATTATTTACAAGAACGTATCGTCGAGAAATCATCTCAGCGACAATGACGAAGAAAACATCGCGGATGTTAGGCGAATTTATTGGCGAATTCTCGAGAATAGCTCGAACATGGATTGGGACGGTTTTCGGGAACTGGTCGAAACTCTTCACCCGCGTCAAAGAGAGTTGTGGCGCGACATATGTCGAACAATCGACGAGGAAGCGAATAGAGCGTCCGTCGACGGGAACACGGAAGTTTGTATAGAGATCAGTCCGGTAGATCGTGAAGAGTCTCCGGAGACGAGCGGAGTAATGGCACGAACGTGGGAGATCGTGTTCGAGTTGGATATGACGTTGAAGGACGTCGAGGGTTTTCTTAACAAAAGACTGCGGCCCGCCGAAGAGCGTCTTGACACACATAAGGATGCCGACGAAGATATTGCGAGTCGGAACGATGGCGGGCGAGGGACGACGATTTCGAAGCGGGCTAGCTAATTGCGTCCTGGCCTTATTTAAGGGTATGTATCGTCTCTCAGTATCAATTTATTTATGTCTCTTCATCCCTCTTTCTCTATTCTATTTCGTCATCCTCGTGACACACATCTTTTTGTATCATTTAATAATACATCATTATTGGACTTTATTATCGTGCCATTCATGTTCCCAAATGGTCACAGTCTAATCCTAGTGCCTTGTTAAAAAGCCGCTTTATCGTTTCGCGCAGTAAAACGGTGAATTATCGACGGCGATATCGACTATTCATCACTATCAAACGGCACACACCCTGACTCGAAACGGGAAAGTAAATTGCGCGTTCTTCGCCAGTCATTGCTCCTCGCGGAAGATGGCCTCGCCCATCGTCATATCGGGCAAGTAAACGGCTAGGTGGGTTAGGTGGGTAAATGGGTTGGTATAGGGGACACGGCGCGGGGCGGCGCGGCGCGGCGCGTCGCGAGGAGTGGGTGTCGGTCTTCTCCTCTTCACCCTCCCGTTCCCCGTTCCCCGCTCCCCGTCGCGTAGGGGTGGTCCAGCAGCAGATTCCAGATCGATGGAACGACGGCGCATTGGATTTTCCGTGAGTCGCACGCGCATCCACCACGTCTCGTCCACCGTGTTCCCGCGAGGACGAGGGCGCGTAGAACGCGTCTCTTCAGTTACACGCTATCCCGACGCCGGGCTGCATACACCTTGACGTCGCGCGGCAGGGGCACCTGCAGGGAATGACGGAAGTGTGTTACTAGGCCGAGTGGCACGTGATACCTCTCTTTTCGCGCGCGGCGCTGCTCCTCGACAACGTCGTGCCCGGCGTCGGCGTTTTCCGGCGGCTGCGTCCAACACGCGACGCGAGACCAGAGTCGGACCGGATAACGTATATCCGCGCAATGGTTCGCCTCTCCGTGGCGAGGGATGCATCTTACTCGTAACGCTCGGAAGGTGTGTGAATCTTGCGTGCGGGAAGACGTGCTCCTTTTCATCCTGGTATTCGATCCTCGCGTGCGTACGCCTTCGATGTTCCCCGAACGGGAATTGATCCACTGGCTGATGGAGTGCTGTGGACTCCGCCGAGGGTGTGTGCACGACGTAGGCATATAGTAGTTAAAGGCGGAAGGGTCTGTTTTGCGAGGTGAGGCACGTGGCAGCGATGGCAGCACTACCGATTCGGAATAATTAGTTGTGTGTTTGGTTAATTAAGTCTGATCGAATGATCTCTCGCGTCACACGCGATCTTCCCAAAGTTTTAGTGATATCCGGAGCGGTGATGGATAAGCGGCGATCCTTAGATGGAGGGCTGCAGGAGTACCCTTTGCCTATCCCGGTTCAGCTGTTTCTTTGGCGGCAGATAAGGTCAGCTGATTACATGTGTGCAATGATCCGTTGTGATTTTTTACTTAAAATGAGAAACAGTGACATGCTCCTCTGTAAATAAGCGTCTCTCTCTCTCTCTCTCTCTCTCTCTCTCTTTCTCTCTCTCTCTCTCTCTCTCTCTCT